AAAAGTTTGGCCCAGCTGCATCTACAACTGCAACGCCCCCGTCCCTATGTCTACTTGTCTACTTGTATATTGAATGACCGGATAGGAAGATCCTATAGTACACTGGCCATATTGCTTAGATGCTGTAGCCCCCTGTACAGTGTGGGCATTGCAGTTCTGTATGCCCATAGCTGCAGATGGCCACACCATATGTAGTTTGGACTGTCTATAGCCAAGAAGAATTGGAACAACTGGTGGTTGCTTCTGATGGAGTTTTGGCTTCATTGCATGGCTGAGTGGTCCATGGAAGCCCAGTGCCAGATCCATATCCCTGCCTTGAATTGCCAACAGTCAGATTTTATGGGTAATTGCATTGCAGTTCTGTATGCCCATAGCTGCAAATGGCCACACCATATGTAGTTTGGGCTGTCCATAGCCAAGAAGAATTGGAACAAATGCTGGTTGCTTATGATGGAGTTTTGGCTTCAGTGCATAGCTGAGTGGTCCATGGAAGCCCAGTGCCAGATCCATACCCCTGCCTTGAATTGCAAACAGTCAGATTTTATGGGTAATGGCATCAAACTGCATAATCTTATTAAAAAAATAAAATATGTCTTGTGCTTTTTCTAGATCCCGAAGCAATCCCCAATACGGCTAAATGTAAGAAGTTTAGGACTCTTTGCACCAGAGGTAAGAAGACACTGGAGGTCGCACTATTGAGACATAGCTGTAGGGTGAAATTGTAGGTTTTTCTGTACCGTTGTATAGATTTTTCCCAGTTAGAATGTAGTGTGCTGTAATAATACATCATGGCCACTAGATGGAGCCAAGGAGCATAGGAAATAAGTATTCTACTGAAGACCTCTCGCACTACTGGCTGTTGAGTTATGATGATCATGATGGAATCTCTGCCATCAAAGAGCCCCTAACCCTCAGTACATGGAGCTGATTAACTGCCCCAAAGTTGAAGCCTCAACAGCTTCCTTTCAGTATTCCAAATTTGGGAGTCATTCCACATGAGCTGATTGGTCAGAGCAGCTACTGCTCATTTTGATTCTCGGTGATTTCTATTTTTGGTGAGTGCATTTGGAGCTCAATAACTTGATATGAAGATTAAATGGTAATGTAGAATCACATCATTTGTCTCAAGCAGTCTCATATGTAAATGTTTGTGGTTATAATGGTATTGTTCTCATTTCAGCTGCCCGGTCGGTACCCAGATTCACCAGCACTGCTGCTCGAGGTCTCGGCCCACTCGGCTCCCACAGTAAGCTGCCAGCCCGACTCACTAACTGTGCAAGCTTCTGCTGACTTGGAGGTGTTTGTCATGTATCCCAATCAGTCACTGATCCCACTGTTCCAGATACAAGCTGTGAGTTACTACAATACATAGGGAAATGTATGGAGAAGGAACTAAGGGAAATGTATGGAGAAGGAACTAAGGGATATGTATGGAGAAGGAATTAAGGGAAATGTATGGAGAAGGAACTAAGGGATATGTATGGATAAGGAACTAAGGGAAATGTATGAAGAAGCAACTAAGGGATATGTATGGAGAAGGAATTAAGGGAAATGTATGGAGAAGGAACTAAGGGATATGTATGGATAAGGAACTAAGGGAAATGTATGAAGAAGCAACTAAGGGATATGTATGGAGAAGGAATTAAGGGAAATGTATGGAGAAGGAACTAAGGGAAATGTATGGAGAAGGAACTAAGGGAAATGTATGGAGAAGGAACTAAGGGATATGTATGGAGAAGGAACTAATGGAAGTGTATGGAGAAGGAACTAAGGGAAATGTATGGAGAAGGAACTAAGGGAAGTGTATGGAGAAGGAACTAAGGGATATGTATGGAGAAGGAATTAAGGGATATGTATGGAGAAGAAACTAAGGGATATGTATGGAGAAGGAACTAAGGGAAGTGTATGGAGAAGGAACTAAGGGATATGTATGGAGAAGGAATTAAGGGATATGTTTGGAGAAGGAACTAAGGGATATGTATGGAGAAGGAACTAAGGGAAGTGTATGGAGAAGGAACTAAGGGATATGTATGGAGAAAGAGTTTGGGGAAGTTTATAGAGGAAGAGGTAAGGAAAGTGTATGAAGGAAGAGGTAAGGGAAGGGGTAAGGGAAAAGTATGGAAGAAGACATAAGAGAAGTATCTGAAGGAAGCGGTAAGGCAAGTGTACGGAGGAAGAGGAAAGGGAAGTCTGGAAGAAGAGGTAAGACAATGAATTCTTTGCTTAGTCTGAATATACTTAGTTACATTTATAGTACAATCCATTATTGTACATTGTATGTATATAGATATATGTAAAATAATGACATCATCTCATCTTTTTCCTCTCAGGATTCTCTCACCGCTGTCGATCTTGTGTTATCAGAGGAGACCGTGGGAGCGACAATATCTGTGAAAAGGTAAGTTACTCTCATTAATTTATATCTATCATTTACATATTAATAAGTGATAATGTGTCTGAATCATTACACGATAGGCACCAAATGACAAGACTGGCATCACTAGAACATTGTCATTACATCAGGACAATAGGACCTAATTCTAAGCAGACCCAGAACTGAGTGTAATCACAATATGGTATATATAGTGGTGGTGGGGAGTATTTTCCTATAGTCAGCTGATTTCCTGCCCAATATTTGCTTATAATAATGCTGACATTTGGAACTTTTAATACCCATCTAGCCTAAAACATCACAATTACACATAGCAGGCTGCAGAGTGACATAAATGGCAAATATCTCAAAGTCTATACCATTGCAGAGACCTTTACTTACATAGGTGTGAGTGATATTAGTATTTGCGTTGCATAAAGTAACTCCTTCTTTTGGGTTTACTGTCCCTTTAAATAGTCCATTTTTTCTCTAGCGGTGAAAACTTCTCTATAACAGATTCATCATCATTACCAATACAGAGCATCGCTGGGGACTTTTACATTAAAGTGTTTGCGAATTGTATTGTGATTGTAATGTCTTCCTTATATTGTAAAGCGCTGCGCAAACTGTTGGCGCTATATAAATCCTGTATAATAATAATAATAATAACATGTAAATCTTAACACATTGAGGCACATCAGGAAGAGAGAAGGGATCTCCCCCAAGTAAAGGAAATGAGTGTCCCCATTTAAAGATTTCTCTCTACTCCTGTTCTGGTAACAACCCAAATGTCTGAATTCCCCAACACTTTCATTCCTGATAACGATGGACAAATTGAGAGGGAAAACCTCCCCAACGGGGTCACAGCAAATAAAACACAGCGGCTCCAACCCACCACGCTGTATCCAAACCCGGATGTCCTTTAAGCCTGTGTTATAAAATCAATACACATCAATCACCAGCCGGGCCGTTGGTGGCTTTGAAGTGCTGATTGTGATACTATTATAACTGACTTCTCACATTCACTTCCTCTTCCCGACCAGCGCTAATCACTGGCATCTGGGATTTAATGTTTATTTAACGATCTGATCTAAAGTTCCTCTTTATCACGAGCCAAGAATCGATCAATATGGCGGTGGTGTACAAATGGAGAATCTGAATATTGGGCTGGCAGCTTCTGTACATCATAGGGTGTCCATGATCACCTTGGATTAGGATGAGTGTGTCTAGAATTGAAGGGACACACTGTGATATTCAAGCGCAAGTTTATTCCAATGGCAGATTGTATATAAAGTGAATGCGTTCCCGGGACTGTAACTACGCCCCTTTAAGTTACTGTTTGAACCCGATGTTGATGGGTGCTGTGCAAACTTATAACACTTTAACCACTTGCCATCCGGGGCATTTTCCTACTATTTGCGCACACATGATAAAATATAAATTTTTGGCTAGAAAACAGCTTCAGACCCCCAACAATGATATATTTTCTGACAGCTGAGGCCCTGTAGAATAAAAAAATGCTAGGTGCAATTTTTTACGTTGCACGTTTTTTGCGCAAATGTTTATCAAACCCGTATTTTTAGGAAAAAATTAACTAAATTGAAAATTTAGTGCACAGAAATATCATATAATACCCAATTTTTCGGTAAAATATGAAAGACGGGATCCTGTCGGGTAAATAGATACCAAACATGTCAAGCCTTAAAATTGCGTTCGCCCGTGAAGCCGCAAAAAAAGTAAATACCCCAAACTTCCCATTGGGAACATTTCAAACGCGTTTACCGCTCATCAGTTTAGTGCTAACAGTCAATGACAGTGCTAGAATTATTGCTCTCGCTCCGACGTTCGCGGCGATATGTAACATGTGTAGCGCAATTGTCGTTTTCGCACGTAGGCGCGGGGAGGGGGGGCGCCGCCGCACGGTACAAACGACGCCGGATCGCTTGTAAATTAACAGCGATCGCCTGTTGTTAAAAGCGGTACCAAGAACACGGCTGCTGCAGCAGCCATGTTCTTGTTTTAACCACTTCAAAGGGCCGCCGTCTATAGACGTATTGCGGCCCGGAAGTGGTTAAAGAGGAACTCTCATCTGCCATCCAGCGATATGACATCCGCGATCTCCCTCGATGGCACCAATATCCTCACCCGGTCTTCTTCTGGCAATATCTCTCCAATCAGCCGCACGAAACCGAGCGCCATAAAAGTCCAACTTTATTGTTGTAAATTCCACGCCTCTCATGCGTTTCACCACCTGGGCTTAATCACAGAGGTCTTCTTCTGGGTTTGAGACCTTCGGCCATCTGGATTGGCCGTGCCTGGATGACGTAACTCCTGCTTCATGCGCTAGAGTTCCTTCATCCCCACATACCCCTAATCTGTCCACTGAACTACGCATGTGCAGCACAGTCAGGTAGATTACGAGCAAGCAGGTATGAATCCATCATTGCAGAAGGAACTGTGGGGTCTGTTTATAATCAGTCCGCAGAGCCATTTGCCCTTCGAATCTTTCTGAATGTTTATTCTGTGTAAATTTTCGGGATCTCCAACTCACTCTTCTTTCTTTCCAGTTTCTCGCTGTCCTTGGTTCACTCCGATGTGGGAACAGTGAAGGTAAGTTAGTTTTATTGTTCCAGGAAGTGTCCATCCCTCCGCCTTCAGGGCTTCTTCACACCATCTCCAGACCAGATCTGGAAGCGTTTTTGAGGCCAGTTCACACCACTGTGTTTTTTTTATGTGTTCCTGTATGTCATTTTTTTAAGTCTCAGATGACTTTGTAGTGTGTTCCAGTGCATTCTGGTGCATTTGCATGCATTTTGGTGGGTTCCAGGCCATAGAAAATAGTGCACGCAGTAGTCTTGTTTACACGGTGTGGAACTGAACGCAGTGGTGTGAACTAGCCTCACTTTTTAACATAGGAATAAAAGGGGATGTGTTTGTGGACCAGACAAAAAAGCTTCTGGTCTGGATCCTTTCCAGACATGGTGTGAATGGGCCCTTACATTCTGAGCCTGATGACGGGGACACCGCCCCTCTCACCAACATCATCACATATCCCCGCTGTGTGCATTAGACCTGTAAGCTGCGGAAAAATTCGGTTCGGTTATTTTGGAATTCGGGATTCGGATCCGAAATTCAATTTGGTTCGGGTTTCGGATTCAATCAAAATTTTTGTTCGTTTCGGATAAGTTTACGAATATTCGTTCCGAATACCACAGAAAACCTTATACAGATATTAATACTAAAGCTGAAGCATGGCATTCGGGATCCAAATTGCATTCAGGAGCTTTCGAATGCCCATAACATATGTATATGGCTCCCAGACCCAAATTACATTCAGGATCCGAATTTCCGAATGCCCATTCGAGTCTGGGAGCCTCAGCTTTAGTAATATACCGTGTTTCCCCGAAAGTAAGACCTACCCCGAAAATAAGACCTAGCACTATCTTCAGGGATTTCTGTAATATAAGACCTACCCCGAAAATAAGACCTAGTTCGGTGGTAGGTCTTATATTACAGAGATCCGCTAGGTCTTACTTTCGGGGTAGCGGCACATAAACTGTGTAAAAACCGGCCGCAGCTCCCGCCCCGCCCACA